TTGTCACAGCCCCTCGTTTGTTGTCCTCTTCTCTCTCTCTGCCTACGGTTTACCGGGCAGTTCTGTTTGTGACGATATATATATATATATACTATCTATAATCTATCCTTTCCTGCCAAGGTCCAGGTCAGGGTCAGCATATACTATCTATAATCTATCCTTTCCTGCCAAGGTCCAGGTCAGGGTCAGCAGCGCCTGCTGTTCCTCTTGAAGAGAACAGTTCCTAGTGTCTCTACCGTAAACAGCCTGAAACAACATGCGGGGGGTGGTAGGTCGTTAGAGGACAATACTTTTAACTTTTAAGGAATGCTGTATTTCAAAAGCTTTCTATTTGTCAACAATTGATATCAAACTTAATCAAAGTAGATTGTTTCTCATCCATGTGTTTGTTAGAGGAAGAAGGGAGGAGGAAGGGAGGAGGAAGGGAGGAGGAAGGGAGGAGGAAGGGAGGAGGAAGGGAGGAGGAAGGGAGGAGGAAGGAGGAAGGGAGGAGGAAGGAGGTGATAGCTGCCACTACTCGATATGTGTATCGATTGCATAGGTCTTCATGCGAGATACGTATAGATTAAAATTTAAAAATTTGAAAGAGAACCATAAAGAGGTAAGAAGCAAGGACTCGGAGAGCTGAGTGGGATGGAGGTCTGATGGGCTTGGGCGGTGTGAAGAGCGGGGATAAGAGAAAGGTGAGGAGAATGCAAGGAGGGACGTACAGGAAGGAGGGGGGGCAGGAAAGGGTAGGCAAAAAAAGAAAGGAAGACGGAAGTGAGCGGAAAAAAGGAAGAGAGGGAAGGGCAGAGGGAAAAAAAAAAAAAAAAAAAAGGAAGTTGGGAAGTGAATGTGCCTTCAAGTGCTGGGCAGAGGTGTGCTGTGAGTTGGGTTCACGAGATCTGATTACTGCCGCCTGCCCTTATACTCGACGCAAAGAGGGTGTGGAATAGTTCATGAAAGAAAAGACACGCTGAGTTAGAGTTAAAAGCATTGTGAGCAATGGAAATTATGAAAGCATTGTAAGCAATGTAAGGTGAATTCATAAATTATTTTTTCCGCAGGCACCAAGTGACAGCCATCTAATGTGTGTTCTCACCATCTTCTTCTTTTCTTTTTTACCTTTTTTCTTTTAATGGCCCTGGCTCTGTCGGTACCCATTCTGTGGAGCGTCAGTGCGGTTTCTTTCCCCTGGCAAATCATAATACACATCATATACGCACTCATGCTTGTCTTTCCGTTTGGTCGAAGGCGTGCTGAACAGCATTGCTTGTCTTTCCGTTTGGCCAAAGGCGCGCTGAACAGCACTGATAAGTCCATTGCTTTGGAGGATCGACTGCCAGCTGCTGGCGGTGTGGCCCCTGCAATGCCTGCATCTATCTCAGATCCTTTCCAGAGTCTTGTAAGAAGTTAAAATTTTCCTACTAAGTATGCAGGTCCATTGAAAGGATAAAAAACAAAATAGGATCGAGGTTCGTTAACATCTTGAACCTGGATCTTGTATGAGCATAATGGCAGCTGTCTTTCAACTTTCGAGTGCATATGTGGCCGTGGGGTTCTTGCTTTTCGCTGCTGTCTTTCCATGCTCTTGCTATTTCTGAGTTGTGCCAATCTTTCCCACTCGGTAGCAAGTTGCTGTATCATTGCTGCGCTGAGTTGTTGACCTTTGCCAGCCAGATATATGATACAGGGTGCCACACACACTACTAGCCCTCGAAATCACAAAAAATAGCAAAATCAGTGGCCAGATCAAGTCCTCCTTCCTTTCACGGGGACTGGATCTGGCCGCTGGTTTTTCCATTTTGCGATT